GCATGGCTGTCAGGGTTTGAACTCTTGTGTGGATAAGGCCAAAGGAGAATGAGGCTGGTGAGGCTGAGATGCAGCATGCTCCTAGTCAACATTTCAGCTCCTAGTCAACTCTTTCCAGGCTAGATAGTCTGATGACTGCCGGCAAGAACTGGTCCCATCCCACCCACTACCCCGTTTGTGTCTTGGGGGCACAACTTCTCCCAACCAGAAAGGCAGCAGCATTTCCAAAGGCAGTAACAGGCTTGAGAGGTGGGGAAGGGCAATTCTATTCTTGCAATCTCCCCAAACCGAGGACTTAGTAGAGAAAGGGTTGAATGTTGCCCCAAACAGCCAGCCGGCTCCTATGGCTCTGGAGTTTGTAACAGAGTGGAGCAACCTGGCCATCTTCTCAGTTACTGAGGCATCTTAGCAAGTGGATCAGGTCGTTGATGCTGTATATTACGTCACGGGTGTCAGTGGCCTCCAGCATTGCCCGACATTTGTGGGCCCTTCTGCGTACAACATGTCTTAAACAGACCCTGTGTGCGGCTAGTTGCACACCTTGCCCTACTCTCTACTGGGGCCCAACCCCATTCACCTAGTTCATCCCTCTTTTGAAATTCACTGCGTGCCTAAATGCTTCGTGTATGAGCCTGGAGATGGACTTGTACCTCCTTGAATGCCATGGCCTTGCAAAGCTGCTGTGAAAATTCACCAGTCAAGGCGCACAACTTGCTCACTTGCCCTTGCCCATAATGACCAGAGATAACGAAACTGTCGTATTTTACTCACCTGTAAGGAAAGACTACCTGCTCCAGGGAAGGGGGCAGGCAGAGCTTTGCAGAGGCTGGTTTAAGGCCTGTCTCCGATAATCCAAGACACTGACTGTCTATCTCGATCTCTCTGGTTTCTGAACTCAGGGTAATTGAATGCAGGAGAAAGGAGTCTGACTACTTTCCTAATTTCAACAGTGGGAAACTAGAGGGATCTGGACATCCAGTTCCCATTGATTTTTAACAAGAATTGTGCAGTGCTGCAAATCTGAATCTCTGACTCCCATTGCAAAGCCCTGGAGAGTTTTCTAGGGTAAGATCCTACTGGAGTCAGATGGCTTTTGGTGCATGTACGAGCCCCTCCCTCAACAGCTGTTGCAAAGTGCCCACTCTCCAGATGGGAGGGGAGGCACTGGGTGTGCCGTATGGTGCACTTTGTCTTGGCGTATGTCTACGCTAATTGCAGCTTGGGTTGACGTGGTGAAGACGTGGCGGCATGGACCTCAGCACGGGCTAGCAATGCAAGTACATACCCAGGATGTCAGGTGGGCTTGTAGAGCTCACGTTGAAGTCCGTGCCACCAGGCCTTCACTGCTCTTTTTAGCTGTGCCAGCCAGGTTAAAGCTGGCATGGATATGGCTACCCAAGCTGCAGCCCCACCTCTGATTGCAGCGTTAGATACAGCCTTAGAGGAACGGGGAAGAAAATCAAGTTAATAGTGATTTGGATGGTAACCGCGCTACACGGTATGAGGAAGACGAGCCTACCACCCTTTCTCACGCAGGTAGACCTGCCTCACTGCAGTGGGACTGCTGTCGTGAGGAAGGGTTGCAGGATCGGCTCCGATCCTGTAGTGTGCTGCGGCGCCCTTGGCTCCTTGTTAATTCATTGGGAAATAAGGGAACTCAGCACTTTCCAGGATCAGAGCACAAGTAATGAGCAATTCCAGCAGCCTTGCAACCAATGAACAGAAACCTTTCACCGCTCAGAGAATTCAACTTTCTTCTCTTTGTATATTTACTATCAAGAGCTATCTCTTCTCCTCTTCTGGAATACCTGAAAATAGGTGTCTTAAAGGATTGAGGGACTGTCGTGTTGAGTTAAACATGAGAAGTGCTGGCCTTTCCTTTTGCTGTGCAAATTCCAACAAAGGAGCATTGATTTATTTTTAATGTTCTCTCTTTGTGTAGTGGGAAATGGGGGGGTAATATGGTTAATTGTGACATTATTACAAAGACTCAGGGGTATGCTGGGCAAACTATTCTATAGATATATGCATAAAGACTGTTGAATTATGTACACTGTACATTCAAGTGGCTGTTAAAGAATGTAAATATGCAGGGAATTTTATGGATGATTATAATTTAATATATTGCAAAGTTTGTAAATACTTGGGAAAAGCCTGTAAAGAGTGTAAATAAATCAGCTTTGTATGTAAGAAGAATTTAAAAATTGTTTTTACTTTTTGCATTTAAATACAAACATTGATGCACCTTTTCCCCCAATGTGGATTTTTCTTTTTTTATTAAAGAAACAGTGTCGTGAGCAAGAGCTGTGGTTTTGTGACTATACTTAAGCTATAGCGTAGAAGCCCCGACTTTTTGGTTCCTGGGGGGTGCTTGACCCCTGCTCCGCCCTGGGGCCCGCCCCCTCTCCACCCCTTCCTCCAAGCCCCACACCACCTCTTCCCGCCCCTGATCTGCCCCTACCCCACCTCTTCCCACCCGTGCTCCTTCCCCTCCCCTCCAGCACCTGCACACTGCGGAACAGCTGATCACAGTAGGGTGGGAGGGGAAGGCGCTGATTGGTGGGGCTGCCAGCGGGCGGGAGGCGATTTTTTTCATGGGGTCAGTGCCTATGCTATGGTGGCAGAAGTGGTGGAGGAGGGTATAATAGAGATCTGTGTATGCTGGGTAGGTTGACGACAGTCAGCATACGGCATTAAATATCTGATGGTCTGACAATATTTTGTCGTTACACATCGGTAACATTTTCAAAAATGTGTAAATGATTTGAGCCTAAATCTCAATTGCAAAAGTGATTTAGTCTCCTCAAGTCTTGTCTACACTTAAGCTTTGCAGCCTTACCTCTACTACTGTGGTTAAAGAGGCAACCGCACGAGGGCTGTTGTTGGTATATCTGTGTCAGCAAAAAATCAGCTGACATAGATAGCTATATCAGTAAAAGCAAAGTAGCTTTTGAAAATTGGATTTAGGCTCCTAAGTCACTTAGGTGCTTTTGAAAATGTTACCCAGAGGCTGGTATTTTCAAAGGAGCCCAAGGCGTTTGAGGCCCAACTCCTGTTGATTTTCAGTGGGATCAGGGTGCCTGATGCCCTTATTTTCTTTTGGAAACGGTAGCCGTTGGGCCTGATCCAGAACCCACTGAAGTCAGATCAGACCCACAAACCCCACTGTGCGTTTTATATCTCATATGTTATGTAACAAAATTATTTGTTCCTAATGATCCATGGGTTTATTGCAGTTGCACAATGCATTTCTATATTGAAGCATTTGAATACAAGAAAGCCACATTCCTCTCACACTTACCTAATGGGCCCTGCAGGAGACGAGCTTGTCAGCACAGGGGTGGGAGCTTGGTGCTTGTTTTGCAGCACCTCAGTGCTACCAACGTTGGTTCCAAAAAGAACAACTGTGGGTGGGATCCGGAGTTGAGAAGCCGCCCTTGATCAGTTTAAAATTTGCCAACAGCTGCAGCTGACCCTGCCAAAAAAATCATTGTTGCTAATAGATGAGCCATGGTGATTTTGAATGGGTTGGGGTGCTGCTGGATACCCTGCCCAAACCACAAGTTCCAGCACCTGGAGAGTCCACATGGGGCAGTCAGAGCACAACACACAGCCTGGGCCTTGGGTGGTGGATCCAAGCAGACATAGAATAGAATATCAGGGTTGGAAGGGACCTCAGGAGGTCATCTAGTCCAACCCCCTGCTCAAAGCAGGACCAATTCCCAATTTTTGGCTCAGATCCCTAAATGACCCCCTCAAGGATTGAACTCACAACCCTGGGTTTAGCAGGTCAATGCTCAAACCACTGAGCTATCAGGCCTCCCCCCTTGGCCATAGACAAGGACAGGAGGGGATGGAGGAGACTGAGGTCCAAGTAACTTCCCTAATTCCTTCCTACTTTTTTCATAAACATCCCTAAATGTCCCAGAGCAAGGTTGGCATTTCTGTGTTCAGGGTAGGAAAAAAAGCAAGGTGGGAGGGAACGTGTGTGTGTGTGTTAAATGGATATATATTAACAGTTCTCCTTTAATTCCTGTTATTAAAATTGTGCAATTGTTTTGTCAGCTGTATTTAGAATAGCACTCACTGCGTAAAAAGCAAGTTTCCTTCTTAAAATGAGGAAAGGACATAAATTCTTTATTTATACTGCTTCCAGTAAGGAAAAATTAAATACAGTTTTCAAAAAACACCCTATTCTTTTCAAAATGGCCGACAGCACCAAAAATGCACATCTCCAAAAATGATACCTAGGGGCCCTGGAAAGGACGGAAAGAGTAGGAGGGACTTGCAAAACCATAGGGCCAAAAAGGGGGTGGGCAAAAGGCGGGGCCATGAAGTGTAATAGGGAGTTCTGATTGGCACAATGCCATGATGCGGGACAAGGAAAGCTGTCAAAATTCTATAGTGATGAAAGACATAGAGCTATTACTACTCTCCCTTACCACCCCTCCGTATGCAGTTTCATAAGGCTTTTCTCACTTCCTATCCAACCCAAAAAGTTTGGGAAGGGCTATAAGCTCTCCTGCTTAAGGGCATAAGTTTAACTGATGAGGGCCAGGAAGAAACTTTCTGTGGGGAAGGTTATTCCATAACTGCACACTGCACCTTCCTTAGGTGCTGGCCGCTCTAAGACATGATAATGGACAAGATGGCTGGGACCCCGCTCTGACCTAGAATTACAATTTCTGCATGTGTACTGTTGCTGCTTGCTGTTAAACAGCTGCCGTGTTCTGCCCCAGAGGTGGCTGCATTTCATTGGTAGGTGAAATGATCCCTGACTATAGCCGGTGTTTCCATTTGGAAAACATTTGGGGATCCTCTGGAAGGAAAGGGGAGGAGTATAAACATAAGTAATTACAGCACATCACAAAGTGTTATATTAATGTTTAAAACTGAAATTACAGCAGTAGCAGGGCCCCAAAACGGAGCTCCTACGATTGTGGAAAAAATTAATACCAGGATTTCACACACGATAGCTCTCAGGGAGTGGGCATTGCTCACTCATTGGCCCCTTAAGCAACATTCCTTTTTCATCAATGACATTACATGGGTGTGTTCCCTGTGGCTCTGAAATGTATTATAATAAAGAGATAAATTTCCTCCCCTAATCTCAGGCTTTGGGTGTTCCTTGTTTTGGGAAGTGCTTTAAATCTGTCTGCCAGAGGCATGGGCTGCTAAAGCCAGAGACTGACTGCCACAATGCTGAGCTCTGGGCTTCCTCCCCTTCTCCTATTGCTCACAGCTGCGGAGCTGAGCTCGTCCCTTACAGATGATGACAAGAGGTTGATTGTGGAGATGCACAACCAATTCCGCTCCCAGGTCTCCCCTCCTGCTGCAGACATGCTGAAAATGGTAAGTGTTCCATGGGAAACCCAGGGTCTGATTGCAGTCATATCTGGGATCTTCAAGATCAGTGTTTCTCAGTGACTGGTCCATGAACTGGTGCCAGTCCCTCAGATTTCACTCATATAGTTCATTAAGGCAGCAAGCCGGTATCAAAGCCTGGCAGCAAGCCTGGTATCCAAAAGATTGAGAAACACTGTTCTATATGACAGGAAGGTGTGGCATGTCTGGAGGTCTCCTGTATGATAGAAAGGGAATCCTGCATCGTATTGAATAGCGGAGGGTCTCCTACACTTCTTAAAATAAGAGCATCCCTTGTTATGAAAAAAGAAAAGGAGTACTTGTGACACCTTAGAGACTAACCAATTTATTTGAGCATAAGCTTTCGTGAGCTACAGCTCACTTCATCGGATGCATCCGATGAAGTGAGCTGTAGCTCACGAAAGCTTATGCTCAAATTGGTTAGTCTCTAAGGTGCCACAAGTCCTCCTTTTCTTTTTGCGAATACAGACTAACACGGCTGCTACTCTGAAACCTTGTTATGAAATGTACTTTGAAAGTTTAAGTTCATAAATGTGATTGACTCTAGCTGGAGATCCAGTGTAAAAATTGTTTCTTTTTTCCTCCTGTAGCAATGACTGGGCTACACACCATGTGTCGTAAATATCATGGCTGTAGTAAACAAACTTGCAATGAACAAATAACCAAAACTTAAATTCACCAGCCAGAGTGACAAAATCCCAACTGAGCTTGGAGAATTCTTCTTAGTGTTGCACTTCATTGATAAATACTTGTGATTACTGATAGACTCTTTTGTCTATAGGATGGAATATAAAATTGAACGTCAACCATTGATTTTGGCTGTATGGGTATCTTAAGATTGGCCATCTTTCATCCAAGGTGCTCGTGTATGTTCCTTCTCACAACACCTCTGTGGGGTAGGTCTGGCAAAAAAGTACTATCCCCATTTTATAGAAGGGAAAATCTAACGCATGAAGAAGCAATATGCCCAAGGTCATATAGTTTGTCTAAGCTACAAATAGAGCCTCATTCTTTCTGTCCCTGCTCTAACCATAAGGAGATGCTGCTTCTTGTATTAGACCCCTTGATTTGAGTAAGATGTCTCTCCATATCTGATGAATTACTTATTATTTGTAAAGTGTTTTGAAGAGGGAAAGTACTACATAAAGTGCAAGGTGTTGATATTTGGACTGCATTACCTCTTTGGCTAAAGACAAATTTGCAGCGGGTTCTTTATCATGACTACAGTCGGTTGGAGATTTTTTGATGAGCACTGAAAAATGTCAATTTGTCAAAACCAAAACTGTTCACGAAACAGGATCAATTTTGATGACTCTTGTGATGCCAAAATATTTTGGTGGGAAAAGTTTTCATTTTTTCAATTTGAAACAAATGTTCATTTTGAAATTTTAGTAAATTTCAAGTTAAAAGAAGATTTTTAAAAGGTCAGAATTGAAACAAAATGTTTCAGAATTATAAAAACGAAATGGTTCCATTGACCCAAACCAATTTTTTTGGGAGGATTTTTGGTTTGTGAAAATTGTTGGGATTTTGATTTTCATCCTATTTTCGGGATAGGAAAATTTTTCAATATCTCAAAAATATTCACAGGACAAGAAAACTACCCTCCTCTGCCCTCACCTCTAATCATGACCTGGTTGTTTTAGGCCTTGCCAGCACACACAGTTTGCACTGATTTAACTAAACTCGTTTTGTGTAGACAGAACCCAAGTTAATTTGACACTATTTTAGTTCAGGGGTGAAATTTTTAAAAAGCACCTAAGTCCCATTTTCAAAAGGGACTTAGGAGTCTAAATCTCAGTGAAAGTCAAAGGGACTTAGCCTCCTAAGTGCTTAATTCATTTTTTTAAAATGAGGCTTAAGTAATGTGCTCTACTGGGGTGTGATTTCTAAAACACACTAGCGTGCTGCACATTAATTGACCCTGCTGGTGCACTTTAATGCAGTGCTGTTTGGGTAATGATAGATTCCCCAGAAAATTTTTCTGGGATGAGTTGAAACTTGGAAAGCACAAGAGGGGTGGTGAATGAAAATGCTTCAAAGACATTATGAAGTAGAATCTGACCTTCATTGACATAAATATTGATAATTTCAAAGCCAAGGCCAGACCTGAATGGAGAGCAACTATCCATAAAGGCAGTAAACACTATGGGGAAGACATACATGAAAAATGGATCAAAAAAAGGGTCAAGCATCTTGCCAAGTCCTCAGTGGGACCCTGCACATTCTTATGTGACATCTGTTTACAATCTTGCTCCTCAAGGATTGGACTGTACAGCCACTTGAGAATGTGTGATGTCATTGTCGGATACGACAGCCAACCATACAGTGCTGTCTGAAACATTAAAGTGCACAAGGGAAACTTTAGTGTGCACCAGTGGGGCCTTTATACAGACCAATTAACACTCAACACATTAGTGCGCTTTAGAAATCTAACTCTTGGACAAGCTCTTAACTCATTTAAGCAATTTTGAAAATTGCTTAATGAAGTATGCTGCTGCTTATTGTAAAAATGGAATGATGACTTAGGCATATGACAATAAGAACATTCAATCCTATTTGTTTTAAATAAAGGCTTGAAGCCAGATTTGACTGCTTTGTAGCACATTCCGCCTTGACACTGATTCTAACTCAGATCCTGTCCTGAAAAATGTATTGATCTTGACTGTGGTTTACTCAAGAGTCTTGCCTTTGTCCTGAGTTTACCATGAACAGTTTACCACCCGTGCTACATTTACTATTATAGAACTTAAAAGACCTGATGGCCAGCAGCAGCAGCTTCTCCATGGTAAACTTTTGTAAGCCGTTCAGTTTAGAAACAATCCCGTGAGTCTCTGATTAAACTCCGGGTGTCTGCATTGCTCTTCTGGATTTCCAAGGACGTTTTCCTTTCAGAAGAAGCAGATCTCAGCTTCTGAGTTCACCTACTCCCGTAGCTAACTGCCCATCGGCAGTCACCCGGTGCTTGTGTTTGGGACAGCAGAAGTGGTTACCATGGAAATGGTTATACAATGGACATACGCAGACCAAAGCCTTATGTTTTTTAATGAAGCAAATAACACAGAGGTTAGTTCTCTGCTTATGGAACCCAGCTCCCTGCTACAGGGAGGGGATAATGAGCCCCCACACCAAGACCTGCAGCCAACCCTCTTTCCAAAGCCACATCAGACACCCCTCTCCCCTGCCGCCGCCCCTCTTATAAGTAAGCAGAGAGCCACTTGGGAGAACAGAGGCTGCATCTTCTGTGATCCTTGCTGCCTACCCTTGGGCTCTGACACATAAGAATCAGTGAACCAGGAATCGTCCAATCGTCCTCACACCAACTAAGGTAATCACCTTCCTCGCAAAATACTGAGGGTTTCCCCGCTGGATCACACCCCACTCCTGCCCCCATCAGCTGATAAACCCACCTTCCTCACCCACTGCTCCATCCTTTGATTTTCATGATCTTTCAGTGGGCTTGTACGTCTGGGTTCTCCTCCGACCTGCCCTGCTATCTCTGCTGGTTGGATTTCAGAGAAGCTGCTGCCTCCTTTAAATAATGTAAAGAAAGTCCAAGCAGCTGTATCTTCGTGTTCCCTTTAATGCTTCTCTTGTGCAAAAACATCTCCCTCTCTTACCTAGCAACCGCCACTAGGTAGGATATGGAGCCCAGGGGAGCTCAGCTGGACAAGAAGCTGTTGTCAGTCCGGGCACTGGAGGGATCACTTGGGAGGCAGCTGTCAGACTGAGTCTCCGGTCAAGTTTAAATGATGAGGTTACCAGATGTGTGCGCTGGCTCCTGTTCTCTGGCCTTACACAGCTGTTGAACTGGGCATGTCCCTCTCTCCATGCATTCCCACAGTTTGTCCTGTTCATTGCAGTCAGCGGTTCCAACAAGGGACCCAGATCTTCTGGGTTCCATTCCCAGCTTTTTGCCCTGTGACATTGAATGTCACCACGCTGCTCATTGCCCCAGTTTCCCCTTTGGTAAAACAGGGATAATTCCTAACTGGGTAGGGGTGCTTTGAGATCCAGGGATGGAAGCGGCTGTAGAACGGCTGCTATTTTATTACTGTCCATTGACAACCAGTGTTTTATATTCACATTTGCCTTAGGCTGGTATGTTCTAAGGAACCTAAGGAGGTTAGATACTGAGTTCCAATGAATTTCACTGGAATTTGAGCAGCTAATGCCCTTGGGTTCCCTTTAAAACCCCATCCTAAAACCCCAATTCAGCAGTTGCATCCCTAAGGGGGACTCCATCATTATCATCATGGCAAATCCCAGGAACACGGCCTCCTTGCAGATTAAGCGCCACCCAGATCAATCTCTGGCTAGATCCTCAAGGTGGTCTGGCTGGATATTCAGTCTGTGCCTATTACTGGCAATCTTATGGCGCAACCAAAGCTTTTGAAGCCCATGTGATCCCTTGTAGCGGTGTTTGTTGGTAAACACACTTTGGAATTCATTGGTCTTCCATTGTAATAATCCACACACACCAAGAAAACTGCTGAAACCAAGCCAGCGCTGGCGGGTGCAGGGTTGAGCTTTGAATATCCTCATTTCTGATCTTGTCCTACTATGTAATATGGACCTGCCGACAAACATGATAAGAATCGGAAGTGTCACTCTGGGGGTCTTCAGCCTCACTCAGCACCCATGTTTTGCTTCTATACCACAGAGCTGGTACAACTGTGCTTCGACAGATCCGCAGCCTTGTGGAAAGTGTCATGTCACTATGTCTGCACAGAGCCCCCAGGAGACTCTGCTTGGGCACAAAGGCTTTGGTAACAGATCCAATTGCAGGATCGGGGCCCTTAATCTTTAATCTTATCAATTAATCTAGATGGAAAATGTGAGAGCCATAGCCTTTACCAGTGCTTGGGAACAGAACCCAGGAGTCTAGGTTCTAACCTCGGGCCCCACTGGATAGGGGATAGGCTGTGTCTCTCAGCGTGTCAGAGTGTTTCATCCATGTGAGGAAGGACTCGATCCAGATGGACAATTCTTGACCCGGCCTCATGCTTTGTGATGGTGGCAGCTTTGTGTTTGTTTCAGAGCTGGGCTCCCGACCTGGAAGCCTTTGCTAAAGCCTATGCAGCGAAGTGCATCTGGGGCCACAACAAGGAGCGGGGCCGGCGGGGTGAGAACCTCTTTGCCATTACAGACGAGATGGACGTGGAAATGGCCTTGGAGCAGTGGTACAACGAGCACGAGCATTACAACCTGACCACGTCCAAGTGCACCGTAGGACAGATGTGTGGCCACTACACCCAGGTATCTGGCTACAGGGCATGAGGGGCTGGATTCCTGGGAGGGAGTTGTGCTTGGGACTTGACCCACCGTAGAAATATTGTTTAGGAGCTTCAATACCATGGTGATGGGCCCAGTATAAGAATCTCAGCTGGCCAGGATAGAACTGATTCTTATTCAGCATGGATGCCTCAATTGTGTGGGCATCATGAGCTGCTGTGATCATAACAGGCCTGCTGAACAGTTTCCCTTTAGGGGAAAATAAGTCTTTAAAGTCATTTGTGTATTTTAATGCTGCACCGTTTGGTCACTCAGCGAGCCTGGTGTGGCTTTCAAGTCCCTGTCGCAGATGGGCTCTGGCCTCAGAATTAGGATCCAGGTCAAGCTCCATGTTTTAAACTCTCCACTACTCCGGGACATTTGGATCTGGACTTTTCATTTGGCTTAGTAAAAGACAGGGGCCTCTTCCAAAATTCAGATCTGGATTATGAACAGCACCATAATTCAGGAGCATGTGGGTTGTGTCCAGCTCGACAGAGAAGACTTGTTGATGGGGGTCTCTCATCCAAGCACTAACAAGGCCTGACTCCGCTTAGATGTAACTCTGAAATGCACAGAGTCCATGAGTCTGCTAGTTCGGGGAGTTGGTCCTTTAGCCCAAGCTGTAGTGGTTCATGCTTTAGCTCTGGAGGTCAGGGGAGAAAATCCTGGTGATGACTGAGCTGACGCATATGGCACACACACTCATCGTCTAAACCTCTTCTCACAGGCAGGGTGTCTCATGGTCTCCCATCTGTGCTCTTCCTGCCTTGTGCGGACAGACGTAACCCTTCTCTCTTCCTCCCTTGCTTCAGGTGGTCTGGGCAAACAGTGAGCGGGTTGGCTGTGGGATGCAGTTCTGTAAAACCCTGCATGGCGTCGAAGACCCTGACCTCTACCTGCTGGTCTGCAACTACGATCCCCCGTGAGTGCGCGCTTACCAAGGGCTGCTCTGGTTCCATCCGGGCCCTGTCACATCTACTTATCGTAACCTTCACTCCCGGGCTGAGAAGGAAAATCCTCCCCCAGGCTCTGCTTACCTTGCTTTCAGGTAACGCGTGGAAGCCAATCCCAAGAAAGCCCTTTCTTGTCATTTTCCTGTGGCAACAAAGAGAGGCCGATCTTGTAAATCCAGCCCAGGTCTGGGACAGAGGAGTCCTCGGCTCTATCTGTGGTGCTGCCATGGACTGTGCGTCCTTGGGTGGGTCATGAAAAGCCACATAGTTACAGGGCTGTAAATCTAAAGTTGCTCCACATAGGTCAACGGAGGCACCCTGGGTTTATACCAGTGTCACTAGGAGGAGAATTTGGCTGTTAACTTCTCTGTGCCTCATATTTCCCAGCTGTGATATGGAGAAAATGAGCTTGATTCTGCTCTCAGTCTGGTGTCATGCCACTAACTCCATGGAGTTCCTCGTGAAGATTTACATCAATGTACTTCACGGATGTGTATAGGGGTCTTTGAGGTCCTCTGTCGACAGGGCTGTATAAATACAAGGGCTAACTATCAGAGCTGATCAGAGTGTTCCCAGTCTGGTAAACCCTATGGAAATATACATGGAAATTTTAATGGAAAAAGGCAAAATAAAACGATGAATGTTCAGGAAACTGAGGGGTCATTTTTTGAGCAGCGGTAATAATTATTAAGGGCCTGATCCAAAACACGACTGAAGTGAATGGAAAGGCTCCCGGGCTCAGGCTCAGGCCTCTAGACAGTGTTCGTAAGCCCAGGTGCCATTAGTAGCACAGTCAAAGCTCCCCCTCGCTTTTTTAATGACCCTTGATTTATATCTTGGCAAGATCTGATTTGAATTAAAAATCTCCCTCCTTTTTGAGATGGGGAGGGGATTCGTCCTCTCTGTTGTCATGGGCTGTTCTCTTTTCATCGGCATATTCTGCTTCCAGTGGCAACGTGAGAGGTCGCAAGCCATACAAGGAAGGACCTCCGTGCTCCAAGTGCCCCGAGGGCTATACGTGTAGGAATTCAATCTGCGGTACGTGAAGGGAACTAGAGGAGCCAGTGTCTCCACTGGACGAGCCAGAAAACTGGGGGGGGGGGGCAGGTTCCACCCATGAGACAATCCCCCTGAAAGCAGTGGGGTTAGCTTCTGAATGAGGTGCTAGTCCAGGAGTAAGGGGGTAGAATCTGGCTGTATGTGGGGAACCCAGCACTTCCTCAGCCCTGCCGGCAAAGTTTTCCTAGGTCTCAGGGTTGGGATTCCAGGGCTTTCCCTGGAGGTGAATCTGCTTTTTGTAAGTGTATATTAGTACTGTCAAAAAGGAGCTGGATTGGCCGACCTGGGACTGGAGTCCTGTGTTTATCTACAGAGCAGGCATAGCCTAGGCAGCAACAGAGCAAGCTTCCCTCACACACGCTGCCTTGCCCATGTGCCTCGTCCTGATCTGATGGGACCCCCCCCACCCACGCCTCGGGGTAGGTCATTTTCACATTCTGCAGCCCATGCAGTCCTTCGCGTCTCTGCTGCAGACACCTGTGCATGGCGGAAGCTCTGTCCACTGGGAGCTCCCCCAGCTCGTTCCACTGTTCAGCCACCAGAAAACAGGAACGACTCACTGTCTTTCAACCTGGGCCATGTTCATGCTGGTGACATATGGGAAAGGCTTCCTATCCCAATAGCAACCACCTGGACCCCTGCTGCCAGGAAGTACCATTCTAGAGGGGTGGCGTTTCCCTACATCAGGTCTGAAAACAAATGAAATCTTGGGACCTGCCCGGAAAAAAGGGTGTCCCTGCGTCCAGTGGGCTACCTGCTAAGCTCAGTTCCCACCAAGGGGCAGAGAGGTGGGGTGTGTTTCCCCGAGAGCCTAGTGAAAGCACCTGCCCCTGCTTTCTCCAGCTCTCCTTTGCTGGGTTTTCATTGGCACTGCTCGGGGGACTGGAGCTCCAAGTGAAGCTGGTGGTAACCCACAGCCCTCTTTGTCTCTCATCAGAACCCAGTGTAGACTCAGAAGAGGCCTCTACATCCTCTAGGACAACAAGGCCAAACCTCACCACTAGGCCAGCTCTCGCCACGGACACCACCCCCACGAGCCCGACCACCACCACTAGCCTAAGGCCGGCACCCACCCCCACGAGCCCGACCACCACCACTAGCCTAAGGCCAGCACCCACCACCACCACCACCACAAAAAGGCCAAATCCCACCACAAGGCCAGCACCTGCCAGCACCACCATGAACAGAAGCCCACCACCCACCCGAACAACAAGGCCCCACCCCACCAAGGCTACTGGGCCAACATCCTCCGTAGAGCCCACCTCAGACCTGAACCTTAAAACATCTCCAGAAATGCAAGTGGACTCTGAGGAGACTGGTGCCCCATTGGTGACCATGGAGGCTGTGCTCTTGCTAGACCTGGAGTCAACCCTCAGCCCGACTGCCTCTCCAGAAATGGAGGGAGACTTGAAGGAGTCTGATGCAGCCTCCGTGAGAGCTGAGCCAGCCCTCTCCTCAGAGCCACCTCCATCCTTCAGCCTTACGACTCCAGAAACCGATCTGAGCTTGGACGATACCAAGCAGCCTCCACCTGCCCTAAAGTCAACACCCGCCACTGCTAAGGTGACCTCCCTCCTGCACTTATTACCACCTTCCAAGGCCGCAGGGAGACACAGCCTCACTGTCCAGTCCGCCCTGTCAGGTAAGGCAGCTGTGGAGTGAGTCTGTCTGTCCCATCTTGGACGTAAAGGACATAGACAAAGAAACATAAATGCACTTGGCAGGAAACAATAGGAGACTGGCCCTCAAACTCCTCCCCCACACAGCACCGACGCCCTTCCCCGCACCTTCCCCTGCACTGTGTCCCCTAACATTATCAGGGGCTGTCTGAGCTGCCTGGTTCGTGAAGCATGAGCATGGATTTGGCCTGTTGCCCACTAACCCACGAGCAGTCACGAGCTGTGTCTTGCCTTCTGAGGAGCTCTGTGCTGCTGTTCTGTGCTATGCATCATCCGTGCCCATGTGGCAGCATGTCGCAGAGGGAGCAGTGTGAACTGGGCCAGTCCTTTGCCTGTGGCTTCCGCTTTGACTCCAGGTTTCCTTCCTTTCTGCACACAGGTGCCAGAGAGACCGAAGAGCTGATGACGGGCCCCACAAAGAAAGACTTGGACCAGCTCAATGGTTCAGCCACCAGCAACTTTCTGGAGTTCTCTCTGTTCCTACTGGCCACGCCCCTGCTGACAGGCCTTCTCCTCTGAAGGGTCTGCCTCGACCCCCTGTGCTCCTAGCCTCAAACTCTCCTCCAGTACTGATTGTCCCGCTGCTCTGCTGCATGTGGGGCATATCAATCAGGTGAAGACCCCCTACTGGGCCTTCTTGCCGCTGGCTAAGTCCACTCCAATCCAGTTATACTCAGTGGTGCCTGGCAAACCGCAGTGGCCATTCTGTTACACTAGCACTGCTGAGACCCCACTATCCCTGGATACCAATATAAGGGGGGTAGCTAAGTTTTAAGTGCCCAGCTCATCTGTCGAAGGGGCAGGAGCAGCTGGGTGAAGAGAGGGGAAATTCCTTGGTGCCTCTTCCTCCCCGAGCTCTAACTCTAACCTGAAGCTCCATAATTCCTACTCCAGTCTGACTCAGAGATGGGACTCCTTCATACTGAAGATCCTGGATCCCCACCAGTCTGGAGGCTCAGCGCTTCATGGCCCTCCTCACTGGAAACGATGAATGATCTACTATCCTTGTAGGACTATGAGGTCCTTTCCTACAAATCCTATATGAAAGGCAGTGCAGAGACATGGATGGTACAACCCTATCTAAACTCCTCTCGCTTCCTCCACCAACTATGTCTACAGTGCACATGCCCCTTCAGGAGAGCCAGGAAATGAACCCTGCTCATCAGTTTTGCTCGGTCCATTGCATGCATCCCATTCCAGAGTTACTCCATGTGGCAAGGCTCTTATTTTGTTGTGCATGGGGAAAAAATACTTCTGCACTAGAGAGGAGGGGGTGGCTCATTATAAACCTCCTGTGGGCATCGTCTGTATCTTGTGGTATGTCGTTAGACTAGCTTCTCTTGAGTGCCTGAAGCGTACAACGTAATTAAAGTTAGATACAGATCTTGGCCTATGGTGTATGTATCTTACACGCACAGTGGAACCTGACCCAGCAAATACTAGGTGGCGTGATGAAGCTCAAAGCACATTCTGCTAGGGGCTATCCACTGGAAGCATGACTTACCATAGAGCAGCTTTCACTATATGTGTCATTAACGTTTGTTTCCCCTCTGCGTGTCTGCTCCATGTATCTTACGTTTCCAAGAAAGGTGTGTTAACTACACGACAAGCCTCAGGTGGTCTAGTTAAGATCCAGTGGAAGATGACACTTGATACGAACCTTTTAGCACCCATAGCATCCCTTGGTTTTGCTAACAGATGAGGTGGGGACTGACGTGAATCCTGTAACCCTTTAGCTACAAGGGACACTGTTTCCAATACCCCATGAGGTCCTGCTCTCAATAAACGCTGTTCTGAAACCATCACGCTGGAGCGTACCATGTTTCACTGAGTGGCGGATGGAGTCCTGCGGCTGGGAGCTTGGTAACGTGCGTGTGAAAGACTCTCTTGGCTGTTTTCTTAGTGGAGAGAGAAATGGCTTCTGTGGTCCATCCCTTTGCAGTAGTGCTAGGAATGAGGCAAAGTCCCTTGTTCATTTCCTTCAGGATCCCCGAGCATTATGAGAGTGGGGGTGTGCACAACATGTAACTCAGTCACTCTCAACCTTTCCAGACTACTGTACCCCTTTCAGGGGTCTGATTTGTCTTGCGTACCCCCCAAGTTTCACCTCACTTAAAAACTACTTCCTTACAAAATCAGACAAAAAAAATACAAAAGTGTCACAGCACGCTATTACTGAAAAATGGCTGACTTCCTCATTTTTACCATATAATTATACAATAAATAAATTGGAATATAAATACTGTACTGACATTTCAGTGTATAGTATACAGAGCCATGTAAACAAATAATTGACTGTGAAATTTTAGTTTGTACTGACTTCACTAGTGCTTTTTATGTAGCCTGTTGTAAAACTAGACAAATAGCTAGACGAGTTGATGTACCCCCTGGAAGACCTCTACGTACCCCCAGGGGTACATATACCCCTGGTTGAGACCCACTGATGTAACTGACCTTCTGTCTATCCCTTTCTATGGCCTCTGTTCCCACCATTTGTGAGCATCTCACAATCTTTTAATGTATTTCTCCTCACAGCCCCCCCTCCGTGAAGTAAGGCAGTGCTATTATCCTCTGTTCCTGGAGGGGAACTGAGCTACAGAGGGACAAAGGCCCGGATCCGCAAAGATATTTAGGTGCTTCACTCCTAGATATCACTCACTGAAATCAGTGGGAGTTAGGCACTTAAATTCCTTTGAGGACCTAAGTGACGTGCCCAAGGTCACTCAGGGAGTCTGTGACAGAGCAGGGAATTGAATCCAGGACTCCCACATCCCAGCCTAGCGACCTAACCCTTGGCCCATCCTTCCTCTCAGTATAGTCACAACCGTGTGTACATCTGTCGTGTCTTATGGCCATGCTGCTCACCGGTCCATAGTTAAAGGTGAGCTGAGTTTTTCACCACAAACTGGGATGCAGCCACTTTGCTATGTACAAAGAACACTCTGTACCCTACTCAGCATAACAGAGGACTCGCTCTTGGAGTACAGAATGGATTTTCTGAGAATTTACAAGTAAATGGTTCATTAGTTTATGTTAAAATTAATTTTAAAATGGGGCTCTAAAAAACAGTAGTACTTTGGATCAGCCCTTTGTCCTGAATTTCAGAATCAGGGCCTCCATTACATTATTGCCTATGGTACTATGGAGCTCTCGGCTCCTGCAGTGGAGGACTTTGTATTGCTCCCACGACATGTTTATGGCAGCACTTTAAGACCTAGGGAGTGGTCCAGCAGCAAAGGAATTACACAACTCCAGAGTGCTACAGCCAAAGTTTTGTGTGTGTGTGTGTCTTTAAAATAAACAAAGACGTTACATGCAAATTCCACCCTCCCCCGGCAGCAGTTTGACTGTACATTTAAACCAGAGCAGCTTTGCAAACAGGAATAGTGGATCAGCTTCATTGCACTTTACGGTGTGAAGCTGAAAGCTGTTAAATGTATAATAGCCTATATGATGTGTGTAATATGGGTAAGTAAATGTTGTTATTTAGGCTTTTGCTTTTCCTGATCCTTCTGAGCCCTGCTTTGCTCTGTTCATGCTGCACTGAGCGAGATATTAAAGAAAGAGAAAACTAGCCTATATCAAAAACTCCAGTTACATAACAGGAAGGCGCCTGAGGGGGGTTTTCAGGTCACTCATGGGCACCAGCTGTTCTATGCTGTGGCCAGCAGATGGCAGTGGTTCAGATACAAGCGGAAACTGGACCACTTCGAAGTAAATTGCTGAACAAACCTACAGAGACTTGAGTGCTTTATTTAATCAGAAATATCAGAGGTATTTAAGTATCAGCTAAAAATACGCTGGTGCCCAAGTGACCTGGTTTGTACGGGGCGTCAGTGCAGGCTAAGTGCCCACAGAGCAGCTGCTGAGCCATGTCCAATACAAAATCTAGCCTTGGCCTATCTGCAGTGAGACCTCCCTCAAAATGCAGATTTAGCTATTACAATTTTCTTATGGTAAAAGTACCAGGGTGTTGCCCAGATGCTACTAGAGAGGGGTAAACCAGGAAGAGCCTTTCAGGCCTATAACCTTTAATCTGTGCATAGGGCAAGGCTAAAGACATGGTATAAAACCCCTGCAAATCAGCAAAAGAACCAAATAAATAACATTGGGTAACCCTGTTAGGTTTGCCAGACCTGGACCAAGGCATCAGAGTACAGGGCTATCCACTTACCAGAGAACCACAGCATTGCTAACTCTCCCAATTGTATCCCGAATCTCTCTATATAATTCTAGGGTCTTAATTTTTTCTAACATGATTCAGTGTTGCTAACACTTGTGATAGTTGGTTTTTCTTGGAAAAGTGAACCTCAAAGGCTCAGAAACCTGAAAACAACCCCCCGCCCCCTACACACACACTGTTTGTCTACTTTTAGGATCATGATTTAAAAGGTAAACTGATGGTTTTTGCGGGGAGAAGAAGGGGATAGTTCCATTTTTGAATGCTTGGCAATACTGAAGATAAAGTGTTTTTTGTTTGTTTCTTTAATTCCAAATTTTCTGGAATCCTAGGTGAGACTTTGAAGATGGCCACTTGGCAAAGGTGATGCACCAGCCTTTAACAAGTTAATAAGTAAGATCATTGCAAGGGGAGCAGGCTGCGACTCCATGAGGCTCTTAGGTCACTGACCATCCCAAACACTGGCTTGCAGAGATTAATTTGTAGGGGATGAAGAAGGGGCTCGACTAGGTTGAGGTGCTCAGAATGACAAGTGATTCTTCAGGGTGGCCAGATAGTTACAGGGATGCACACTACTGGGACGTCAGATCCCAGGTCATTTCCCAGGGGACCAAACTGAGAGCAAGGCAGAAAGCAGCGAGGCTGTAAAGCCCCAGGTAATTCCATGGGGTAGCGTGTGTGGTTTAAAGGGGGAGTATGTGTATGGTTTAAAGGCCCCAGGTCAGGCCTAAAGGTAGTGGGATAGTATGAGGGACAGGTTTGCAGGTCACAACTCCCAGGGGAGGGAGGTTAGGGGAGGGTGATGAAGGACACTGCAGGGGAAGCTCACAGCTCCATCCCTGAGGCAGGGAAATGGCATGGGGGTGCAGAGGGAGGATGCTGAAGAATACTGCACTCAGGCCCCAGCCTGCTGAGATGGGGTGAGGCAGAGCTAGTCAGTCAGGAGCGGGGTCCCACTCCAGGCTGGGAGACGCCAACGTACCGACCGTCCGAGCCAGACGCCCCAGTACAGCCAGGCCTTGTGGGCAGCAGGGACACGCTGCCTCAGGCTCCCCTGATCCTGGAGACTAATCGCTTCTCGTTGCCTGCATTCGGCTCCCCAAGTTGCGCTGCAGGCTGCAGAATGGGGCAGCTCGGCCTCTTTCTCCTCAGCCATGTTGCTATGGCAGCTGGAGCCTTCGAACACAACCCCTTTTGTTAACGGCCAGCAGCTCCACTCTCCCTCCCGCTCCTCCTCCCCGCGCTCTGGGGCTCGGCGAGTCCCTGCCTAACGTTCCAGGCTCTTTGCTCCTCTTCCAGGGGAGACAGCGCTTGCTATGGTGACCGCCAGTCGGAGCGGGGCTGCCTGCAGCAAGGCACCGGTGAAGTGGCCTCCGGGACATTCATCAGGCAGGACCCCTGTGCCCCAGAGAGGCCGAGGCGGAAGTGCCCTGCCACTGTGAGCTGGCCCAAAGGACTAGCAGGTGGCACCCGCAGGGAGCCTGAGGCAGGAGATGGGTACGTCCTCACGCACTCACAGCATGGAGAGCAGGGTGAGCTCCGGCAGCCACGTACAACTCACTTAGGAGCGCAGGAAACGTTGGACTCATGGAGGCCCATTTTTGGCTGCCCTTACGGCTCATGCTTTTTTCATCCCTTCCTAGAGACACAAGACTCCAATCGGCCCAGCCTGCAGCCATCCGAGGCTAGTCACTCAGGCAAACCCCTTTAGTAAACAGGTTAAACCGCTGTAAGTTGTGATGTCTTCTGGTGCAGTGTAGCACAGGTGAATGCTATCAGTGCAAACAGCCTCTAGCCTAGGGCTTTGCCCAGCAGCCCTTTTTTGCACTCAGAGCAAATCCCCCCATGGGGATAAGGCCTAGCTGTTGCTCCAACTACTTTGTGCTTCACTTTCCCCAGCCATTCACCTCCTGGTAGAGCTGAGCAATTGCAAATAAACACAGTGACCACTTGTGTCCTGTTCCTGTTTTCCACCAATGAGCTTTATTCATAAGGATTTGGTGGATAGATTGAAACAAACCCAACCCAGCCTATGGGTCCATTCACGGGGATTATTCGCAGTGAGTGATTGGTCACCGCAGTCACACGGTATTGTTTTTGCTCTGATTGGAGGACTGATTTTTAAACAGACAAATAATAAAGACCAAATTACTAGAGCAAGTTGAAAAACACAGAAGGGGGGGAAAAGAGCGGAGGTAAAAATCTGCATCCCTACTTTTCATATTTTATTAGAATTCAAAATTTCAGTGAAATTCTCCAACTAATTCAAAACCAAATGTCGAACATCACT